GAGAAGGGGGGCAGAAAGGGGAAAAAGATTGAAAAAAAGTCATTTTGTCCATCAAGAAAGTAAAAAGCCCCAGAATAAAGCAGCCCCTTGTGTGGGGCAGATGATGCCCTTGTTTATAGAACACAGTTACATCAACAGACATTTTTGCTAAGACACAAAGGCTAAACCCTATCCGTCCTTACACGCGTGGAAACCTAGTGACGTCAGTGCCTGCAATGGTGTAATTGAAGGCAGAATGTAGCTCAAGGGGTCCTGTTTTATTACTCTAGGAACAGTACAATGTATTAATAAGAGAACAGAAGTCCCCAGAGTTCCCAGCACACGTTTTATATTTTTAAGACATGAGACTGGAGTTTTGACATCTCTGGTTACAGAATGCATCTTTTGGGACTTAATAAAGCATTAGCCACATTCACCATGACTAATCTGGTCATTAAAACGAATATTTTTTTAACTTTAAGATATAAAAAGGGAAACAGGACAGAAATAATTATCTCCAGAAAGAGTTTGTTTTCATAAGTTTTCCCAGGCACATTTAACTATGTGGAACGACAGCAGGTAAGATTCTCCTGCCATCACTGAAATTAACAGTCTTATTGAAGTCAGTGTGCAAGTCATGAACTTAGCTCGAGCTAAGAGGTGCAAAATCCCAGTACGTTCAGCATGTTGGAATTTCTAATACAGTTATTGTGCATTATGCCATTTATTATGGTTCAGTAACTAGGTCTTTCTGGACCTGGTGCTGATTAATTTTATTAAATGCCCACACCAAAAGCTCTAGGCACTCTAACAGTTAATTAGGTTTACAGGTATAAAAGATAATGACAAAGAAGCCGTATCTAAATAACTAGTTCTCTACTAGTTAGCAAATCAAGGTAACACAACAGCTTCTTTTTCCCTCCACCACTTCAGGAGGAGAAATCTATTTAAGTGAACAATTCTGTTTGCTTGCTCTTCAGATTCTTCAAGACCTACTTATAGGCAGGGAACCAATAGTATTTTTTGAGAGGAAGATGCACACTGCTCCTGCACCAGGTACCCACTGTCCTCCTTGCAAATTCCCCTTCCTAAAAGCACCTTTATACTTTCTCTACATCCTCCCTTTTTGTCCAGGACACAGGCTGGGGAGTTAGAACTCTACTAAGCCCTTTGGCATAGCCTTCCCAGGAAACACAAAGAAAGTTCAGCAAAAAGGTTAGTGGCAGAATGAGCATGTTTCCTCTTGTTTTGAGAGCAAGGGGAAGGGAAGGAAAAAAAGAAAAAAAAAAATTACAGCTACAAGCCAGGCAGATACTGAACATATAAAACCAAGGGGACAGATGCCTCAAAAGGGATCTCATTTTCCTGCTGTAAAAATAAATCACCACTGAAAAATATTCAGGTGATATCACATAGTTAAGCCTTATAATAAATCTTTAGCTCTTATTCCCCAAATCTTTCCTTACTCAGTAAATCTGCTGAAGTCACCAGGATTCCTCAGGTGAGAAATGGCGTGCAAGAATGGGACATTTATTAGATACCTTTCAAACAGTGAGATAAAGCAGCTGGTATTCACTTTCAATGCATGAGAGGGCTCCTGGCAGACTTACTTATTTATCACTAGGCTTCACTGGTATCATCTGAGAGGTAGAAGATTTTAATACTCCCATCAGATGGAAAAGATGAAGGCAAGCTAAGAACATACCCGTAATATGAATGCAAGAATTCATGTAGATTTTGCCACTGGGAAATTAGTTTGCTTCAGGGGTATAGAGCTCTTGAACCAAATCAAAGATAAAACTCTGCTAAACAATTGTCTCTGCACAACAGAAGATCTCAAAAGCTGTAAACAAACAACACAAGACAGCACAACCCTTGCTGTGCAGAAAGACTCCATCTTCTCACAAAAATACAGCTTTTATTTTGGTGAAAAACAACATGATGCTTTCACATAGATATCTAAAAATCTCTCTCATGTAGTGGTTTGCAGCCAAGAAAACTCTGCCCTTGCATGTATTTGGCTGAAATTTCTCCCTTTTCCTCTTTCTGCAGACAAACAATAATCCTCTGCATGAAGCACTGCACTTAGAAACATCACAGCCATGAGCCGATCAGAAATAGAGGAGA